TATATGACACCCTGGCTGGCACCTCTCTTCCTTGTGACCCTTCTGTAAGAGGATGTCCAATTGTCTACAGATGGGCTTTGGGTTCCCACTCTGCACTACCCCCTCATTCACAACCATATGTTTTTTTGTTCTGGGTCTTTGATGCCTGATCCCATCGACACCTCTTAATCACACAGGCTGGTGTGCTTCTTCCATGTGAGCTTTGTTGCTTCTCAGCTAGATGGCCGCTTGTTTACCTTAAAGCTTTTAAGACCCCAGACACTATAGCTTTTGATAGCACCATCAGCTTTTTTCACCACATTTGCTTATGCACCTATTTAGTCTTCAGTGATTTTGTCTCAGGGAAGGTGAGCATCATGGAATGCAAGATTAATAGAACAAAGTGTTCTTGTGTTGAGGGAGTACTTCAGTAAAGGGCCAATGTCCATCTGCTACCTTAATACTAAATCTATAAATATTTGTACATGGATCTATTTCCCCATTGTCATATATGAATATATTTACATATGCACATGCCTGTATTTAGACCTCCATAAATGCCCTTTGCCTCCTAGTTCTTTCCTCCATTTCCTTTTACTTTCCTCTTGTCCCACTATCATGTTCAGCCTTCATTAGGGTGTCATTAATTCCTCTCGGTTACATTGCTCTTAATCAAGCCCTACCAGGCCTCCTACACCCTCCTAGCCATCCATTTCAGATCACTTGTTCCCTTGTCCCTGGGTTTGTTAACACCCACTTCCTTTCCCCAGCCTCCCCCTCTCCCATGTCCCCCTGCCCGGAACTGTTGGTCCTCTCCCATGTTCCCTTCCACCCTGGAACCGTTGGTCCTGTTGTTTTATCCTCCAGATTGTTTATCTTGCATATTTTATGTAGATAGACATGTAGAGATTATAATATGCACAAAAACAAGACAGAACCAAACAAAGCAACAAAAGAAAACAAAACTACAACAATTAAAAAAAGGAAAAGCCTATAAATAGTAAAAGGTCTGTTTGTTGACTGTTAGGAGTATATTCTGGTTGAGTCTGGTGGGGTACCACGCTCTGGCTCAAAGTCTAGTTTTGGTATTCCCAAGGGATTTCATTGCTCTGCTTGCCTTGTGTTCTGTTGCACACCCTTAGTGTTTTGCCTCGGTGTTGTGGGGTCACATCGGGCACAATTCCTGCACTGTCTCCAGTGTTGTCCCCCGTAGCACTATGGGTCAGTGAGGAACATCGTGTCTCAGTGGGGCCAGCCCTATTGTTCTCTCTGTGCATTGACTGCTCTGAGCAGGAATATCGTCCTTGGCTTGGTGGGCCAGGATGTGCTCCCTGCTCTCTCCCTTGAATTGGGAAATTGAGAGCACCCTGTTCTTTCATCTTTGAATCCTTTGTTATTCTCTTTATACTATGAAAATATTGTCAATAAAAATGTAGTTTCTGTATTTCTTTGGTTTCTACTCACAGATTCCATAGATATTTCCTCTTTATCATTCCAATGTCCCCAGTTGGGGTTTTAGGGTGAATTTTACATTAAATACTAGGATAAGTCATGAAGCATTGATATAAAATATTAGAAACTAAAAAAGAAAGAAAGAAAACTGAGGAGCTGATTCCAAGAGCCCAAGTAGAAAGCAAATGTTTTAAGAATGACAGGGCAATGAATGTACAACTGTGATTTACACAACTGACTTATGTATGGATTGTGATGAGTTGTATGAGCCCCCAATAAAATGATTTTTAAAAATCTTAGGAACCTGTATTAAACAAAAATAGCAACGTGAAGCTATTGTATCTCCACATGACCTCCATGTAGACTTCTCTCTCTCATCATTCCGGAGGATTCAGTGGTCTTTGATATAAACCTTGTTGGAATGGCAGTTTGTTATCCTATAGGAAACTCAAATTGTGTTCATTATAAATGTTCTTTGAGTTTTGAACCAAAACGAATTCTGAAAGGGCAAGATTAGTCCTGTAGGTTGAAGGCTAAGATTTCCCAACAAAATTATCCTGGGACAGCCTTTAGTACTCTCGAAGAATAAGCAGGTGCATTGTCATGATGCAGGGAGGGGGAATTCTTGGTGGAACTCTTTTTTTTTTAATCGTTTTATTAGGGGCTCACACAACTCATCACAATCTATACATACATCAACTGTGCAAAGCACATCTGCGCACCCATTGCCCTCACCCCCCTCAAAACACCCGCTTTCCACCCAAGCCCCTGGCATCATCTCCTCACCCCTTCCTCTCCCTCCCCGTTCTCACCTCCCTCATGAACCCCTGACAATTCACAAATTATTATTTTGTCATATCTTGCCTTGTCTGATGTCTCCCTTCACCTACTTTTCTGTTGTCCGTCCCCCAGGGAGGAGGTTATATGTAGATCCTTTTAATCAGTTCCCCCTTTCCAACCCACCCTCCCGGTATCGCCACTCTCACCACTGGTCCTGAAGGGATCATCTGCCCTGGATTCCTTTCGTTAGAACTCTTACGACTTTTTTTCTCATGGTGCAATTTTCAATTTTCTTTAAAATTCTTCATATTAAGTCCCAATGACCATCCTTTGTCCTTCATTAAAACATATCAAGATTATCCCTAAAAAAACAATCGCTGTGTCTTTCTGAGCTGACTTCTCTCCCTTGAACTTAACTGGCTCAGTCAATTTCCAGGGAAGCCACTGTTTTGATTAGCCTCTTTTTATGAAGGCACCTTAATGACACTAAGACAAGTGTTTCACTGCTACAAGGGATTTCATTTGAAGGGGAAAAAATAATAGAAGATACACTTCCTAAAAACTTTGTAAATTAAGTGAAACTTTCCTAGAGTAACTGTAGGAAAGGAAGTAGAATGAAAACAGGAAACAAATGGAGGAAGTAGGATAAGTGATAGTACAGAGGAGACTGCAATGGATGAGATGAAACAAAATATATCAATTGTTGAAAACACTACAAAAATGTGTATGATCTTAATTTGGTGAGTAGTGATTGGCATCTCAAAAGCTCGTGAGCAACCAGCCATCTAAGGTACTAAAAGTCAACAAGAAAGAAGAGTGATAAAAATTGAAAGTCACATGGAAATAATTAACCCAATGGACTAATGGTCCAACAAACATCAGTCTCCACACCCTGAATCCAAAAGAACTACATGTTACCATTATCAATTGCTCTGAAAAGGACTGCAATGAAAGAGTTACTATCTCAGAAGCTCACAGGCAGTTTTATCCTGCCCTATAGGGTAGCCATGAGTTTTTGAAGACTATCTTATGGTTAAGAGCGTGTAGGAGGCGTGGTGGGACTTGATCAAGGGCAATGTAGCCAAGAGGAATTACTGAAACCTGACTGAAGGCCGAACATGATAGTGGGAAAGTAAAGTAAATAGTGGGATGAAGAAAGTAAAAAGAAATAACTAGGAGGCAAGGGACATTTATAGAGGTCTAAATATAGGCATGTACATATGTAAATATATTTATATACAACAATAGGGAACTATATGTGCATATACTTATATGTCAAGTATTGAGGCAGCAGACGGACATTGAGCCTCTACTCAAGTATGCAAGGACACTTTGTTCTAATAACTCGTCACTCTGTGATGGTTACCTTCTCAATATGATCACTAAAGACAAAATGGGTGCAAATATGGTAAAGAAAGTGGATGGTGCCCAACTATCAGAAGATACAGCGTCTGGGGTCTTTTTTTTTCCCTATAGTATCTTATTTTTTTAATCGTTTTATTAGATGCTCATACAACTCTTATCACAATCCACACCTACATCAATTGTGTAAAGCACACTTGTACATTCATTGCCCTGATCATTCTCAAAACATTTGCTCTCCACTTAAGCCCCTGGCATCAGGTCCTCATTTTTTTCCCCTCCCTCCCCGCTTGCCCCTCCCTCATGAGCCCTTGATAATTTATAAATTATTATTTTGTCATATCTTGCCCTGTCTGACATCTCCCTTCACCCACTTTTCTGTTGTCCGTCCCCCAGGGAGGAGGTCACATGTGGATCCTTGTAATCAGTTTCCCCTTTCCAACCCACTCTCCCTCTACGCTCCCAGTATCGCCACTCACACCACTGGTCCTGAAGGGATCATCTTCCCTGGGTTCCCTGTATTTCCAGTTCCTATCTGTACTAGTGTACATCCTCTGGTCTAGCCAGACTTGCAAGGTATAATTTGGATCATGATAGTGGGGGGCAGAGGAAGCATTTAGGAGCTAGAGGAGTGTTGTATTTTTCATCGTTGCTTCATCGCACCCTGACTGGCTCATCTCCTCCCTGAGACCGCTCTGCAAGGGGTTCTCATTGGCCTACAAATGGGCTTTGGGTCTCCACTCCACACTCCCCGCCTCATTCACTATGGTAAGATTTTTTGTTCTGATGATGCCTTATACCTGATCGCTTCGACACCTCGTGATCGCACAGGCTGGTGTGCTTCTTCCATGTGAGCTTTGTTGCTCCTGAGCTAGGTGGTCGCTTGTTTACCTTCAAGCCTTTAAGACCCCAGACGCTATACCTTTTGATAGCCAGGCACCATCAACTTTCTTCACCACCTTTGCTTATGCACCCATTTGTCTTCAGCAATCGTATCATGGAGGTGAGCACACAATGATATGATTTTTTGTTCTTTGATGCCTGAAAACTGATCCCTTCGGCACCTCGTGATCACATAGGCTGGTGTGTTCTTCCATGTGGGCTTTGTTGCTTCTGAGCTACATGGCTGCTTGTTTACCTTCAGGCTTTTAAGACCCCAGACACTATCTTTTGATAGCCGGGTGCCATCAGCTTTCTTCACCACATTTGATTATTCACCCACTTTGTCTTGAGCAGTTGTGTCGGGAAGGTGAGCATCATAGAATACCAATTTAAAAGAAGAACGTATTCTTGTATTGAGGAAGTACTTGAGTGGAGGCCCAATGTCCTGCTACCTTAATACTAAACCTATAAATATATGCACATAGATCTATTTCCACATCTGGGGTCTTAAAGACTTGAAGATAAACAAGTTGCCAGCTAGCTGAGAAGTAACTAAGCCCACATAGAAGGAGCACAGTAGCCTTTGTGATCATAAGGTGTTGATGGGATCAGGTATCGGGCATCCGAGACCCAGAACAAAAAATCATATTGATGTGAATGAGGGGAAGGGTGGAGTGGAGACCCAAAATCCATCTATAGAAAATTGGACATCTTCTTACAGAAGGGTCACAAGGAAGAGACAAAAACCAGTCAGGGTACAGTATAGCACCAACGAAACATAAAACTTTCCTCTAGTTCTTTAATACTTCTCCCAACACACACACACTATCATGACCCCAATTCTACCCTACAAATCTGATTAGACCAGAGCGTGTACACAGGTACAGATAAGAGCTTGCAACACTGAGAATCCAGGACAGATAAACCCCTCAGCACCAATAATGAGAGTAACAATACCAGAAGAGTAGGGGGAGGTGGGGGAAGAAAGGGGCAATTGATCACAATGATAAACATATAACCCCCCCACAGGGGGACCAACAACAGAAAAGTAGGTGAAGGGAGACAATAGAAGATGTAAGATATGAAAATTATAATAATTTTGTAATTTCTCAAGAGATCATGAGGGAGCAGAGGGTAGGCGATGGAATGAAGCTGATATCAAGGGCTCAAGTAGAAAATATTTTGAAAGTGATGGCAACATATATACAAAAGTGCTTGACATGATGTGTGGATTGCGATAAGAGCTGTAAAAGCCCCCAATAAAATGATTTTTAAAAATGCTTAACTGTATGAATCAAAATGTAAATACTACACAGTTGGTGATATTTCTGTTTTCCTTAAGGTTCTAGTTCCCAACCTTAATATATTGATTTGTAATAATAATCTACTCTTCATTTCTAGAAATACTCAGCTTCATGAGTCATGTAAAACTACTTGTTACTCTCTGAGCATGTGCAAGCTTATCTAAATTTAGGACTCTAGAAAATTGATTGGTGGTGTTTACTGTGTATACTTGAGTATAAGCCAACCTGAATATTATCCGAGGCACCTAATTTTACCACAAACACTGCATTAAAAATGTGCTGAAAAACTCAGCTTATACCCAAGTATGTATGGTAACTTTCTTATAGAACTGCCAAACAGCTACATCAGCATAGCGGTGACCTAAAATTAGCTAGTCCTTGTGGCTTCAATTCTGATGAGTGTTATCAATGATGTTCAATTCATTGAATGCTGTCATATTCATTGATTTTATATTAAGTAATTGAGTATATACACAGTATTAGTTACTGGGCTCACTACTGAAATAGCATGGTGAACTATATATAGCTTTTCCTCAAGTGGCTCACAGCCTAATATGTTGTTTGTAAATAAGTGCATAATAGAATTTTTGTATTTATACTAAGCACTTGTGTATTTGGATTGAAACAGTGCCAGCAACAGTGGGCTCAAACACAGCAGTAATTGTGGGGCTGATGCAGGAGCAGACAACATTTGGTTCTGTTACATAAGAGGTCAAGATTAGTTAGCACTGACTCAATGACACATAACAACAACGTGTATGTTAGCAACCATCTGGTTAGACTAGGATGTGGTTAACTAGGTATAGTTAATGGAGTTTAAAACCTAAGGATAACTTATAAAGAATTTATAGCTTCATAAAATTATGTATTTCTAATTTCTCCGCAGATGCAGAGTTCCCTTAGATCCCTTCGGAATAGTGCGGCAAAGAAAAGGGCAAAACTGAGTGGCAGTACTTCTGATCTTGAAAGTCCAGATTCTGCAATTAAGCTTGACTTGACCGTGGACTCCCTGTCCCGATCTTCCTCCCCAAACATCAGCTCCTACAGTGAAAGTGGAGTTTACAGCCAAGAATCATTGACATCTTCTCTATCTACAACTCCCCAGGGCAAAAGAATAATGTATTTCCTTCTTTTCTTTTTTTGGCATGTTAAATGAATACTAATTATAATTTTTAATCTGGAGCTCATATTTCAGAAAAAACTTTAAAGTTATTTGTATGCTAGTTTGCAATATTTTTGAAGCACATTTAAAAAGAAGATGAAATGTTTACATATAGTACCTTAACTTGTTTGGGCTTGTGGTGAGGTTGAACAGGGAATACAACTTCATCTTTAACCAAAGCACTTGAATGAATATAACACCGATTCCCAAAGCACCAGTTGCTTTTTCTTTAAAATTGACCCTAATATTCATTGTCCTATAGTTCTTTTCTGGGTCTCTGACTCTTGTCAGTTGACCAATAGCTAGATTGCTGCTTCATTTTAAACTCAGAAGTAATTTCCTGTAATCTATTAATAAAACTCAACCAGTCCTTGTTCCACTATTTTGATATTTTTTAATTTCCATTATTTTGTAGAAGCTCAGGAATTCATGCTTAAGAGTCTCTTTAGCCAATAGTTCTGACCACCCCTTGTTGACAGAATGATTTTCTAGTATAACAATTCACTGGTTTGTCTGGATTACTGCTGTAATTCCTAAGTTCAAAGAGTGATCCATCCCCTTATTTCCAGGTATCTTTGTTAACCCTATAGAGGAATTTAGGGAACCTGCTTCCCCTTTATTTTGGAAAAAACCTAGAAATAATATTGTTAGGTCATAGGGTATATTTAACTCTTTGAGTGACTATAAACAGATTTTTACAATAGTGGTAACATTTTACACTATCATTGTAATGCCTAAGATTTTCAGTTGTTTCACATCCTTCTAACATTTGGTAATTTTAGTCTTTATTTTCTTTTTATTTTATCCCAAGGTATGCTGGTAATACAGCTATTAGAAATAAACAAAGTTAAATGCAAATATTTTGGCACATGCTAACTAGAAAGTCTACTATTGTAGGTAATCGAAGGAAACAGTTGTTTTATTTCATCAATTTCATAAAAAGAAACTCAGTTTTTTGTATAATTGGGGTGGTTTTTCTCATTCCATGATTTTTCCCCCTCTATATTATTAATTTAAATGCAGATAATTTTGCAATGGAAATTTTTTCTTATTGGCTATTTCTTTGTTGTAATTGTACAGATAGAGTATATAGAGTATATTGTACAGATAGAGTATATAGTATATACTATATATTGTATATAGTATATAGCCATTTAAAATGGCTCCATGAGAAGTGAATTAAGTTATCAGTGTTTGAATATTTACATATTTATTATTTGATTTTATACTTCTATGGTTGTAAGATTGTGTAAATATGTAATATAAATACATTAAGTTTAAATATAAATTTAAAGTAATTTTTTCTAACAAGGTTACTCTTAAAATATTTAGTGTTGGTTTCCCATTAGATTCATTGGCAAATATGCCTACTATAAAAATTTATACTGTGTAAAAATCTCTCTTTGATACCCATCACTGGCTTATTGATGGAGTCTTAGTAGCATGTGGTTGAAGTGCTTGACTGCTAACTGGCGGATTGCTACTTCAGTCATTCTGAGGGAGAAAGATTTGGCAGGCCGCTCTTGTGATGATTTACACATTGGAAACCTTTTAGTTCAGTTCTACTCTGCTCTACAGGATCACAATGAGTTACAATTGACTCGATGGCACTTTGGGCTGTTAAATAGATTCAGTGTCATGTTCTTCTGTTTGCTCTCATTATTTTAGGAGAGTACTGCAAAGAATATTCTTCTAGTTCAAGAAGAAAGTAGCATCTGCCAAACTCACTTGTTCCTAGTCAAGTCCCTGTTTTTGTTAGCTGGGTGACTATTGTGTTAGAGAATTGGGGATCATTTGATTTAGTTTTGAAATGAATTCTCTTAGAGCATTTCTTTATAACCCATCCAAAAGTAATACAGTACAAATCAGTGGGTTTTCATTTCCCATGGAAATCTTCTAAATAAGAAGTGACAATATGTTTAAAAGATTGAAAGTTCAAAGGTTTGAATACCAGTAAAGATAGTTTTAGTCATAGTTGTTTCAGATAAAATACATACTTGTTACTGCCTTATTATTGAAATGTTTTGTGAGTTATTAAAACATAGATAATTTGTGATATATAAATATTAAACATCTGAATTTTAAATGTTTATTGCAATAACTTGGTTTTATTGTAGGTCAGACATATTTCCTACATTTGGATCAAAGCCTGGCCCAACAAGACTTTCTTCAGCAAAACATAAAAACTCTCATATAGCTGAACAAAGCCCCAGTGCAGGTATTCTATGACTGCTTTTTTTTCTTTAATTATTTTATTGGGGGCTCATACAACTCTTATCACAATCCACACGTACATCAATTGTGTAAAGCACATTTGTACAATTCATTGCTGTCATCATTCTCT